ACAATCGGTCATGTGATATGTATCTAAATACTTTTTTTTATTAATGATTATGTGCATAATGATACACTTGGGACTCAAGTGTACTCAATATTTATTGAAGATGCTATCGGCGCTTGTTTTTATACGTTCTTACCGAGCATCTATCGTTCGTATAATTTCAGTAAATATTTAATGCTCGTTTTATGATTTTCATTGCCACTTCCTCGTCACGAAGATCATCAATTTATCAAAATTAAAGGAATGTACAATTTGTCCGTGAGCTCGGTATTAACAGTTTTACGATAATTCCTACGAATTTATGAGATTTTCAATTAATTTAATCCATTTTGAATTGAACATGTTTATTAAATTATTACTTTTATAAATTAAATTTATCGAGAGAAACTATGATTAGGAATCAATAATTCTACTTTTAATAGTTTTCGTTAAAATCCAGAAAAGTATACAAATTTGATATTTTAATTGATTATTAATTTATATACAAGAAAAATGAAAGAAAATATTAATTTAGCATGTGCGTCGAATAAGGCCAAAAATATTTTTCTTTTATAAATTTTAGCGTCAAAGACAAAATGTCATTGAGCAATAATTAATTTAATTTCATTATCAATCGATTATATTTATTAAACCTATGCTTTTAAACTTTGTTTATTGCTATTACTGAAAGAATTTATAAATAAACTCTAATGGTATGCAAATCATAATAGATCAATCATAGGATTAATTATAAAAAAGATATTGTTATCATTTTCATTTCTTGTAAGAAGTTAGAAATTAACTTTGAGATTTTATTAAAATATCGTGCAAATAATACATTTTTATGGTCAAATATCTCCTAAAGTCATTACATTATTGAGCAGATTCTTATTTACTTAAAATTTTACTTATTTACTTAAAATTGGCCTCGTTATTTTTATTACTATGTGCATTTCATCGTCATGTTACGTCATTTTTTTGTATGCAAGGGAATCTACTTTCATGTAATGACTCGAGTCGATGTACAGTACTACGAATTTTTTACTTGAAGAAGGTTTTTACTTTTATAGCGTAGATGCTTTTTTCCCACCTTATTTGTTTTATCATTGCAAGGCAATTTGAAAGTTACGGAATATCTTGGGAACCATTTGAATAACATGCCATCGTATTACTTTTCAATCTCTTCTAATGTATTCGTTTAGCGACGTAAAATTGATTTGATAATGCACAAATCGACGGTTTGTACAGGCCAAATTGCATACAAAAACTGAAAGCTTCAATTTTTCTCTGGACATCTGGGTTTGCCATTGATGTACAATCGGCAAACACATCGTTAATTAAACCAATTACAAAGCGGCAGACCGTTAATACCCGAGGTTGCCGGGTCTTTAAACTGCAATGGAATAATGAGAATTTATGATTAAATAATTGACTGACAAATATCTTATACTTGAAAGCAAAAGAAAGCGCGATTCGAGACGCAACGTACTTCCTCATTTATATAAGATAATACAATAATGTCACACAGAGGAGGCACATGCACACGCACACGCGCGCAATCCGTTCGCCTAAGCTTCGAGTCTACGAAATCCAGTGTCAAGTCCATTAATTTTGGGGTCCGGCTCGTAAAAGGTAGTCAATAGCTGCGTAAATTTACCTCCGACCTTTCAAACGCACATCTCGCGACATCCAGCAACGACTCATTTGCCATCATTCCTGAAATAAAGAACTTAAGCGGGGAAATGATTTTTCTTTTACCGGAATCCCAACTCCCGCCGCGGGCAATTAACGAACAAGAACGAAAAGCATAAAGCGCTCGATCGATCGGCCCACGATATCCACTTCAGGGATGGATCTCCCTTAACAAATGTGGTCGATCTCACATCTGCGCTAGAGCACGAGGGAATTCGCAACGCCCCCGACAACATCGTCCGCGGGGAGTCGCCCGAGAACTCGATGGAACAAATGTCGCATCTACACACAGGCACAGCAAATCTCTCAGTCACCGACCCCTCCGCCTCCGTCAAATCGAAACGCTGTCTCGAAGACGCGTCTAGGGTCTGGGCCACCAAAGCCCAAAAGGTAGTCTTGGGCTCCGGCTCTTGACGACGCTTGGAACACAGCCCGCACGTACCTCCAACGGTCGAGGATGATGATGATGATGATGGAGAAGGGCCGCTTGAGAACCGCTGAGGGAACCGTTGACCTCAGGCAATAAACTGGAAAAGTTTCAGCTTCGCTCGCGTGCGCGTACTACTCCAGGCTGCAACTGTGGCGAGAGGTTCGCTTTCCTCGAGTCCCCCACCCCCGGGCCACCACCGGTAAACCGCGAGCAGCATCTTGACCCCGTCGCCGCTCTCTTAATCCTGTGCACTTCTTTTTGTCGCTCGGCGGTCTTAATCATAATATCGGGCGGCAGTAGCCGGCCTTACAATGTCATATATTACGATGCGTCGATGAATTATTTGCAAAAATCAGCAAAGAGTAAACAAGGCGCAAATGTCGCTCTCTCGCTTCTCTACAACAGCACCTGCACGGGACTTTGGACACGGCCGTGGTAAAATCGAAACTTTATCAAAACTTTGTTTAATCGTCGGCAGCTGCTTAACAATGAGCGAAAAATTAAGTCAATTTGTCAATGGTCCGAAGGCTCACCGCTCGGCAGTTGGCGCAGTCGCTCGCATATTATTTTCAACAAGCGCCTTTTTCCCGTCTTCCCGATCTAATTTCGTGCGTGCAACCCTCCCCTGCCCTCGTCGCCCCACACTCTCACGCTCCCTCGTGGTCCTTCCATCCGATACCCCTCCCGTAGCGATTTTCGATCGTCCATGAGAATTCCGACGCGGGAACGCGAGTAGGGCTCCTTCAGCCCCTCCTCGACATCTGCGTCGTAACTACGGCAGCCCTCTTCCCACGATCCGGAGGCTCCTTCTCGCATGCGCATCAGGACTGTGAAAGATGAATGTGGACCGCGGACCCAGGGTAATCCTTTCGCATCTAACCTCTCGCCGCGTCCTATCGTCGACTTATCTCGCGCGTCCTCCGTTCGTTTCTCCCCGACGCTACGGAACCTAACGCGATCTACCCCACGACTGCGCCACCTTACGCTCAAGGGCTCGTCGAGCTCTGACCGTTCCAATTCGTTCTCAGATATATATGAAAATTTCGAAGCCGCGCGCGCGCACCTACACATCGATTTTGTGAACGTAGTGTGGAAGCGGCGACGGCAACGGCGGTATCAGCATCAGCGAATCCCACCCTCCCATGCCAATGGCTCTGCTGCTCTCCTGTGTCTCTGTGTGCGCACTGTCGATCGATGCAGCCTTTATCGGCGCGGTGTTACGTTGTTCCACCGCCATGGTGGTGTCCCACGGGGATGCGACGCCCCGTGGCGATCGATTTCGGACTGCCCATGCGAATTATACCGCTGTCGACTGCGAGAACGCGGGACATATAGCTTTTCCCGGCCCTCCCGAGTGTATCCGCATGTCTAAAGCGAAACTCACACTCTAGACGCTTCTCCTCCTCGTCCGCTCCCCTCGACGTCGTTTTTAGAAGGCGGTCGACGAGAAGGTGTCCCTAACGTACAAATATAACTCCTACCGTATTTCGGGCAAGGCGCGCACAGACATATACTAGGCGCTTTCGTTTATCCAACCTCCGTGTTCTTTCGTTAAACATGACTCGTTTCACTTGGGTCGCGTTGTCAACCGTCATTAATGTACAGCGAGGGTGGCTAATGTCGCGTGAGATGATCCGCGAATGAATGTAAGGTTCGACTGCCGACGATGACTGCCGTGGGAAATGCGACGATTTTTCGCCTCGAGACGATGGGGAAAGTGTGGCGGTTACGGCAGCACCGCTCGAGCGTGACTCGCGCGAATTCGATTACCCGATCGGTGCTTCGTTATTCAACGATAGCCGCGCGATAAGCATTAACTGGGTTTATTGAATGATCCGAGATGAAAAAGCGATCGTTGGCGAGCTCGGCTTTCGACTTTTCATGTTTCGCACGCTGGCTCTTGCCCCCACCCTCCGTCCCTTGCCCCTCTACCGCCAATGCAATCTATACACCAATGCCTCGATATCAGCAACAGCAGTAGCATCATCATCATCATTAGAAACAAAAAGACCATGCTTAGGGTGCATTGGAATTCTTTCGTTCTCTCCTCCCTCCCTTTCCCACGAAAAGCCAATGTTGCCGTTGGTGGGGATACGACGTAAAAAAAAAAAAGAACAATAGAAATAGTTCCTCTCTTTCGCTCTTTGTTGCGTCGCGCCCGATACTGTTGGAGTGGAGTGGCCAGGTGGTGCGACTGTTGCGCCCCCGAACTGCTGGTTAGTCGTTCGCCCTCTCTCGCGCGCACGCACACGCGTAAATGAATATGCCCGAGCACAGAGAACTCGTCTCCATCCCCCTCGGCAGCTGCGGGTGTCTCGGGTGGCTGTTATACCTGCGCCAGCTTTGCAACTTCAGGCATCCTTCCGATCGGCAAATCCTCGGCACGGTCGATCGCGCCCTTACCGACTCTCATTCAGAAACCCGCACAACAGGGTATAAACAAACAAATGTGTATGCGAGACAGGCAGAGTCAAGATCGCGCGTGAAAACAATGGGACAACGGGAGGAGGGCCCCGCTGACCGCCCGAGATTAATAGATAGGAGCACGCGGGTATTACGACGTGGTAGGGGACGTGGTGCAGGAGGACGAGGAAGGAAGAGCATCGGCTCGACTAGGCACTGTTGTGGGAGAGATGCGAAGGTTCGTTGCACCGCGAGAGAGCGGCTCGTTCCAGGGCCCGAGAGAAAGGCCCGCGAGCGCACGGGCGCTCGCGTACACACTCGGGCTACCAATACGTATCGGCATCAACATCAACATCGGCATTAAAATCGGCTCGTTGACCGCAACGTCCCTGGCGAGCTCCAATTTACGAATGGCACGTAATAGTAAAAATTGAAGCGATCGAGATGCTAAGCGCGGCAGGATGGGTCCGGAGTCCCGTGGCGCATGCGTACGTCTGTGTTTGCGCGTCGTCCGCTGGGCGCCTGCGCGCATCCGCAGTTGGGGAGGGGTCGGAAAGGGGGTCCGGCAGCGCCGCGCCTTTGTGTTTATAGTTGGGCCCCGTGCGCAGCTGCGCCTCGGCAGTCTTGTCGTCGACGTCGCAGTTTGCGCGTCATCTTATCCGTTACCTCCGTCATGTCGTCAATCTATTGCCAGAGGCCCAGGAGGCCCCTCACCGTGCGCAGGGCCACGAGGGTCGCCAGGTTGAGGCTGTCCGGCAACGCCAGCGGTGAGTCCGTGCAATCATCCTCCTCGACTCCCTCATTCGTTTAGTGTCGTTGGTCCGGTTGGCAGTGGCGGTGGCGTCGACGGCCCCTCTGACGACGGCAACGACAATATCGAGCGCGTCTTTATGTCATTTTATGCCTACGGATCGGCATTTGCCTCCTTCCGACGACACACTTTCACTATCCCGAGCACTATCGATCAGCCGAGCCTTATCGATGAGTGGCAATCTATCCTGACAGATATGCGTAGTAAAACGCGTCCGTATACATACTTTCTCGAGCGCCGCTTCTATCAATCTTACTTAACTGCACTGTATGCCCGTTCGCCCGTCTTATTTAACGATTTACATTTTCCTTATTTTTCTTTCATTTATATTTGACTTTAGAGCCTGCCTCTCGATGACCGACAGCGTTCGTGACTCATCGTTATCTCAACTAACCCTTTTCATAGAGACTGCGCATCTTTAATCTTTCGACAAGAGGTGAAAGAGAGAGAGAGAGAGAGAGAGAGAGAGAGGGGGGACAGCGTTACGGGCTTGGAAACGCTTTCGGCCTAACACACGAAATTCTACGAACAAACAAGACGCACATCCCTTCCCTAAAACTTTAGGTTTGGGGCTGAAGCGTCGTCGTTCTTCGAGTCCTCCCACCCCCGTTAGACGCGTTTCGTTGACGCATCGTTTCCATGATGCGCATTGGAAGAGACAGCAAAAGGAGATGGCTATTATTCTTGCTTATTAAAAAAACAAACAAAAACAACAACAATAATAATATGAATAATAAGAATATCATCCAAAACAATTAGAATAAAATGAAAAAAAAAGAATGCCAATGCGTGCAAGCCCTCCTCTATATGTCGAGTGTCGTACGATCGCTCGATTCATAAATTGATGTACGTTGGTGTGGGCGAGCGTGCATACACGTACACGCACACGTAAACTTGCATTGGCTCCAATGATGCGGCATCTGTTTTTCTTCTTCCCCCTGGGCGCCTCGAGTTTCTTCTCCCTCGGTGTTTACCTGCCCACGCGTTTCATTACGTAACTCACGTAGTTCTATAGGTCGCATCGTTTAGTGGGGGGGGGGGGGGGGGGGAAGGTGTGCTTGGAAACAAAGAACTATGTACAAGTACGCGTTCTATATGTGACAATTTCATTCGCTTGCATCTGGGACACACTTGATTTCTTTGACTTTGTTTCTAATTAACGCTCCGTTGGTATCCCATCCTCGCGTTTTTCCCCAAGGGAGTGGCAACGATTTTCCGTAGACATTCCACGTCAAGCATTTTCGTAGTTATGCACGCGAAAGGATAAACGTCCTAGGTGAGGCCCTGGCCGCGTTATTATGGGGCTGTACGTTCGTGGGAACGTACCACCTCCTCCTGCTATTCCTTCACCAGCACCTCCTCTTGCTCTTCTTCCACCTCCGCCACCTGCTTGCCCTGCTGTTGATCCTGCTCCTCCGGCTGTTTCTCCATCGAGCTACGCATAGCATCGATATCAAAAGATATCGCTCTCGATTGACGCGATTGGCCGTTAGCACCATTAGACCCAACTACGACCTAACCTGACCCAAGTTACTTTTCACGGGCGCGGTGGCGTCAGCTATAGCAGCACGGGGAGGGAAAAAGGTACGCGTCCCCGTTACGTTTTCCTACTATTTTCTAGAAGACTCGTCATGCCTTAGTCACCATTAATCACGCGTTTTCCGATTCCTTTCCACCGCCGTTTTCCCTGCTTCGAGCCCACGACTTTGTTCGTTACTACGACGAGATGGAGAAAGAGAAGCCCACTGCCCGCCCGTCCGCCCGCAAGAAATCTGTGCCACGGGTTTCCCACGGGCTTAGATTCGCCGTAATTTCGTTCGGCGGCCGCTCACTGCCCCGCGTACGCGGTAGTGGGGGGCAGGTGGGTCTCGACGGTAGTAAGACGCGCTCGAGACAAATCGATCCTCTCCGCAAGTGCCACCCGAACAAAGAGAGTCCCCCTACCACGGAGCCACTGTCAGTGGCCACCGACACTCCTTAGCACAACTTTATTACCGATTTCTCCTTTTTCAATTCTCGAGTCGCCACAGACGGGCTATCACCACCTACCACCGCTATCTTTTGGCCTCTAAATTTGCCTCGCTAATTAGGGCGATTTGCGAAATTGGGGCACGAGCGCTACTGATAAGATCGGCTACGATAATAACGGTGTCGTTAAGAAGAAAGCACGAACGCGTTGAATCTTGAGAAACGACTCGGCGGTGAAAATCATGGGCCTAGTACAATGGGTCGCGGAGTTGTGAGGTAAAGAGAAAGAGAGAGAGAGAGAGATCCGGTGGGCTAGTAAGAGGCAGAGGGGGTAGCGGAGAGGCGTGTGTTACAATAACACGTGCTACCTAATAGCGGCTAGGAAGTAACGGTAAACTTCGTCGTGGAGAGCAGAGGGCAGATAACGCGTGCGTGAATGCGTTCACGCACTTTTATATTATCAAAGCTCCCAAACGAGCTGTACGGGGAGGATTAGCGTAATTTTACGAGGGCAATTAAGAAATAACGCACGCCACTAAGTTCATGACTGCTCGGAGGATGACTTTATTATTTTGAAATCGCCGTGGCTGCGACGTGTAAAAAAACGAGAAGAAGCACCGGCGTCGAGTCCCGTGTGCTCCGTCGTGTGAAACGATGGCACCGGAAGCTCAGCCGGGACTCTGTCTTTCGTCCTCACCTTCTGATCGCATCCTTCAATGTTTCTCGTCGCTAAGTAACGAACCGAAAATCAGGCGCTGTGACTTCAGTTGTTGTCTGCAAGCGCGAAATTTCATCTGTGATTAGATGGTGGCGGTGTAAAGTGCCCTCCGAGGAAGTTGTCAAGAGATCAGATGGAGAGTGGACGCGGCCGCAGTAATGGTGAAGGGGAAGGAGGATGACGTGAAGGAGGGACGGGACGGGACGGGACAGTAGCACGTGCGACGGCACGTGTGTCCCGGGGGCTATTCTCAAGAGTCGAAGACACTTGGCGTGGCGTCGCGATTTACGTGGACGTACACAACAGTGGCGGTGTCGTCGTCATCCTTTATTACGCAATATAGTGTTAGAACGAAAATAACGATATGCAGGGGGAGGGGGGTACAGTCAGAGTCTTGCGGTAGTCTGCGCGAAAAAGCGATTCGATACGTCACGAATGTTCCCACGCCCACGGTATTGCATGTAGAGGTACGTACGCGCGTATATGATGGGGCGAGCGATCGGTGCCCCGGAGTCTTCGCCCCCGGCATTATCTTTGCTGGTATCGGCGCATGACACCAGACACCACCTCTCATCGTGATCGCTCTCTAAAGAAAGGACAGCCAAGTCTCTAACAGATTTAGGTGGGAAATGCGCTTAATTTGTCGATCCGAAACAGCCAAGAAACTCACTCGCTTCGCTCGACGAGCGAGATAAGTGGCGCGCGAGCGTTGGTGGGCCCGATGGGACCAAGTTTTTCTTAATATTATGAAAAAGATGTTGATCGTCACGGGACGAAGATCGAGAGCCACAGAGAAAAGGAAACGCGGAGAGTGAAAGTCGAAGGCGAGAAAAGGAGAGAAGGCGCTCTCGGATTTTTTTCCTTGTTTTCTTCTTCTTTACACTTGTTACTCCTGGGAGTAAATGCCTTTTTTCGTCCCACTCGGGCGTTTCGAGAAGGTGTGTAACAACTCTGATCGACTCGTAAAATAACGATATTACAATGTTCTACGCGACGGAGCTCGCGCTGATGAGGAAAAAAGCCGATGTAGCAACGATAGACCACGTCGAGCTTAACAAGAATATTTATTGTTGTAGCGGTGCAGGGAGAAAGAAAACTGAAGGGAAAAACCGGTTCCCAATCTCGACATTTTCCGAGATTGTCAATACACTCGGCTAATTGGTTATTTACAATCGGTTAACAAAAGGGAGGTGGTAGGAGCGATAGTCGCGGTCGCACGGGTCGGTGCAAGAAGGGGATGGATGGGAAGAAGAGAAGGAGTGGCGGCGGCTGCGATACACGCGATTTTTATCAAGAGCGTATACTGCATTTGGGACTTGTGGAGAGCAAATTGGCCGGAATGTATGCGCGTCTCTCTGTCATTGTCGTGAGACGGTTTCGCAATCTTGGCTCAGGGTTTTTATACTCTCCGATTGCTTAAAATTCGTGACGTCGGGAGGAAACTCGGCACGGCCCGACGCCACTCCTGTTACAACTCTGTGGTTTCCTCCTTCGTATGCATGCAGCGCGAACTTCCTGTACGGGCGCGCTTCCTGCCGCCGCGCAAGAAAGATAAAGAATACATAAAGCAGTGGAGTGACGAAGGTCTTCGCTTACGGCGATTGCGTATCGGTCAGAAGCGGTAGAAATCGCTCGGAGCGAACGAACGAGCGAGCGAAGAATGAATATTCTTCTAACCCAGTTATAAAAACCGAGCGCTTGGCATTGCCGTCGACGATTCGCGAGCTCGTGATTTACGGGACCGTGTCGCGACACCGAGGGAATAACGCGCGCGTGCATATACATATACAAGCGTAAACTGTGCGAAGGCAAGGAAACGCTTAGCAAATATAGCGCATGACTAATTCAGATAAACGCGCCCACTCTTTAGTGTTTATCAGCGCAGCACATCAAAGGGACTACACTTATTTTTCATACGACGGAATCGATTGTAATTGCGGGGAGAATTTTGGTTGCCATGTCCGGGTGCAAAAGTACGTGCTTTTGTTGCGCGGCCCGCATGATGGGCCCGCGATACGTTTCGAGCCATCGATTCCTGTTTGAAAAGGCTCGCGAGAATGCTCCCTGAATGCTACCGATCAGAACAAGAGAAGAAGAAGAAAAAGAAGCCGAAGCAGGACAAGAACCTTTTGGAATTCATTCGTCCCTCCCATCCTCCCACCCTCGGCACCTATCGTGGAGTATCCATATTTTTTGCGAGCATCACGCGATAGTGAAACTATAGGGATCGAAGGTACCCGCGGCTCTCCAGCGATTTTCGAATTACCGCAATAACAGACCAGCTCTCTCTCTCTCTCTCTCTCTCTCTCTCTCTCTCTACTGCGGTTGGAAAAACTCTTGGCTGAAAAGCGCCGTGGAGCGGAGTAGCTATTACAATTAAAACGAGACTGCGCCACGCTAGAATCGCCACGAGGTCGGGCAGGATTCGCTTCGCCGATATTTTCGCCCGCGGAAGCGTGTAATTTCCTCCGCCTCGACCTCGTAACCAGCGAGGAAACTCAAGATAAAAGAACTCCTACCTCGTATATAGATATATATATAACACCCCCCCCCCCTAACCCCCCCCGCTGTTTATAGACCATAGATGAGCGATTTCCCACGACAGGCGATCCACTGACTCTTACCATATTATCTTTACGTTACAGCGCCCAGATCAACGAACGCTGGCACGAATAATCTGCCGCCCCTCACCTTCCACCAGGTACACGGCGACAACATACGGTTATGCAACGGCAACACCACCGCCAGACGGCACGAGAGCTTTTGCAAGGGCGTAACCTTCAGCGCCCGACCAGTCCGAGTCGGCGAAAAGGTGAGCCTACATCTATCAAATTCCGTTCGAGGCCACGACCGACCATCACTCGCTATGTCAATTGTTGTCGTTGTCCATTATCTTTCTCCACGGACGGTCGATTTCGCGAACTAGTCATTTTACCGCCCAAGCTGTAAACGCGCGCTCGCTCGCGCGATTGTTCCTCGTTTTCGCATCAATTCGTAGGAGGCGCGAGGTGCCCAATGATATGGCCCGTAGTCGTCCGCACATTAAATTAAGCGACATCGTCGAAAACGATGATGAAGACGTCGAAGACAATAAGCAAACATGGGCATCACTTACGGGTCGACGAAACGGACAATCCCATCCAGCCGCTGATACGAAGGAATATTAATTAATTTGGTGCGACCGTGTTTGGAATGGCGGGCGACTATCTTTGAACGGCCGGTTTGAGGAAAAAAATTCGCCTGCGAGTCCATTTGAGCCGATTACGAGAGAGAATGATGACTATTAAGGATTCCCCTCGCTACCTTGAGCTCGTCAATTATGCGTGTGAAAGTACACCTTTTTTCTCTTATTCTGGGTTAAAGTCACGAGTGCCGCGTGGGCGACGGAATTTCCATTACGGTGTCTTCACCCCCCCCCCCCATCAATCACCGCTATCCCATCAGGTTCCTCGTTCCTCGCTTGTGCCGCTTTCATCCTCTTGCACGGAGCAGACCACCAAAAGATCCGCCGAAAGAGAAACGCGGATCTCCTGGCATCATGTCCCCGTCGTAGTGAAAGACGTGTGTTTTCAATTAGATTCGACGATTATAGTGAGAATAGTACAATTACAAATCGAAAAATCGAGGTGTAATCGTTGCATGATGCAAAGAACGCGCTGAAGCTTTCTTGAAACTTTAGCCGTATAAGAGGCCGCGCGTTTAAATAAATTACGAGACTACAACCCTCTTCCTCCCTATCCCTCCCAATTAACAAATCCCGCTCGCCCACGAACGATTCTTTGTGTGGCGGAGTCCGGTAGTAGAGCGACGTTTCCAAAAAGAACTTGGCTCTTCCTTTGTTTCTTTATCTATTCGCTCGTTACCTCCTTCTCTCCCCCACTCCCTTGCCCCTCTCCCGCCCACTCATCAAACACGCACGCACGCTCAGATATCTCTCTCAATGTCTATATCTGTATTTCTTTCTCTGTTGTCGCGGTTGCTTAGGTATGCATCAAGTTCCTCGAAATCTCGGACAACTGGAGCGGCGTCGTAAGGTTTGGCTTTACGAGCAACGACCCCGTTAACGTGCGCAACGGACTACCGCGCTATGCTTGCCCAGACCTTACCAACAAGCCCGGCTACTGGGCCAAGGCCCTCGCCGAGCGTTTCGCCGGCCGCAACACGGTCCTCTTCTACTACGTCACATCAGCCGGCGACGTACACTTCGGTGTGAATGGCGAAGAGAAGGGCGTCTTCTTCAACGGCGTGGAGACGCGCAACCCGCTCTGGGCGGTGATCGACGTCTACGGCAACAGCACGGCTATCGAATTCGTCGATCCCAACAGGCAGCGCTTCAACAACGTGCGCCGCAGCGCCGAACGAAGCAACGACAACAATGCCCAGCACAGCAGGCACTCAACCATGGACGACGTGAGCAACGCCAGCAGGGACATCGAGAGGATCATCGTATCCACGCTGCAGAACTCCCTGCAGAACTCATTGCAGAATATCAGCATACACTGTGATCACGACACCGATCTTCCCTGTCTCAAGTATCAACCTCTCGGCGCACTCTTCACGCCCCTCCCCTTCCACCCGTAAGTTCACGATCTCTGATTGCCACGTCAATGTAACCATTAAATCATTCCATCTGTAACTAAACGCGAAACAATTTTTTCCTAGGACCCGCGGACGCAACATCCGCTTCAGCCATCAGCAATGCGTGGCGACGCGCACCGACACGGAGTTCTGCCATGGCTACGCCTTCACGAATCGACCCCTCGTTCTCGGCGAACGCCTCGTCGTCCAAATCCTGTCGACGGAGCCGATGTACGTGGGCGCCCTCGCCCTCGGCCTCACCTCCTGCAATCCCATGCATCTCACCGTCGAGGACCTACCCGATGACAGCGATCTTCTGCTCGACCGGCCCGAGTACTGGGTCGTCTCCAAGGACGTGGCCTCGAGTCCCCAGCCGGGCGACGAGATCGCCTTCACGGTTACGCACTACGGTGAGGTACAGATGAGCAAGAACGGCGGCCCACCCAATGTCGTCATGCACGTCGATCAAAGTCTCATGCTCTGGGCCTTCGTTGACGTCTACGGGAGCACCGAACGAGTGCGCATGTTCACGGGCCGCGATTTCAGCTCCCTCTCCCAGCAACGACAGCCTCAGCAGCAACAAACCCAGCAGCAGCCGCAACAACAGCAACAGCTCCAACAGCCCCAGCCCCAACAGCAACAAAACCAGCAGCCCCAGCTTCAGCTTCAGCAGCAACAACCACAAACACCACAAACGACGACCCCGGCCGTAACCACGGCCCGGACCGCGGTTCCAGGGACCGTCGCTGACTTCTCGCGTTTTCCCGAGCTGGTGCAATTCAAACCCGCGGTCGGCGGCGGCACCGTCCTCGTCGTCAACCTTCCGCCCCAAGGCTCTCACCCAGCGCCACCACACCCGACAACGACTCAGCCACAGTACGCGCCCGCGAACCGTCGCGCCGCCACTCCACGCCAGTCATCGACGACGCCTCCGCCCCCAAGCACAGGGACGATGGCGAGCACGAGCTCCTCAACGTATGTCGAGCCCGTGAACTGCCAGAGCACGAAGCCCGGTGGTGGCCAGCCCCTCTCGCGACTAATGTGGCGGGAGGGCCTCCAACCCCCGACCCCCGGTCAGCCCTCCGAGTGCTCCATCTGTTACGAAAGGAACATCGACTGCGTCCTCTACACCTGCGGACACATGTGCATGTGCTACACGTGCGCCCAGCAGCAGTGGCGCGGTAAGGGCGGCGGTCACTGCCCCCTCTGTCGGGCCGCCATACGCGACGTCATACGCACCTACAGATCCTGAAGCGAGGAGCGGCAGAGTCGCTGCCTGCGGCCGCGTACCCGTGCCAAAGCTGCGCTGAAATAAAGGGCTACGAGGATCGACATCCGGATGCATCCGGAGACTCGGGCCTCCCACCCGAGCCTCCTCCGACCCCTCTCTACGGAGCGTCTTTATTCCATCTTTTATCTCTACGTTACGTATACGCACGTGCAAACCATCCAAGCCACACACCCACCTACCCATCATCCGCGCATTCACGTATGCACAAACATTGTAGCTTCGTTGACTTGGTATTAACCGGCGCAATCACAGTCTTTTAGTATACATTATATTATATTGTGTCACCCATGTACATATACGTATACGCGTGGTCCTTATCAATACATACACGCATACGTGCGCGCGCGCGAATGAACGAACGAATTGATATCATTGATTATTGTAACTATTGCGCGTGTGCCAGTTTTTTGAAGGGGGATATGATCCTCCTCGGCATTTTGGACCTACTTGTAAGGCAAACTTGCAATTTAGAAAAGCGGCACGTAATGAAAGGAGACGTCGTTGTCCCGTTTTCTTTCTCGTACGCTGCGAATCATTAGCGAAGAATTATGTCATATACGTATATCAACGTATACGCACGCGTAGTTTGCATCAACCAAAGAGATTCTGCATTACGAGTCTTGGCGGCTTCGAGGCGTCAAAGGGAGAAAATGGCATTGCAAATGGGAGGTTTTGAGAAGTTTATTATTGGAGCTTGGTCGTCGAATATTTTTATGTCCGAGAGAGCACACGAGCGTGCACATGAATATTTGTTGTCGCTTATCGAGGTGGCGAGCCGAGATCCAACCAAAACAATAAGTTTGAGAAAATCGATGAGAGAAGTACCGAAGCGATTCGCACTTTTATCCTACTGAGCGGTTTTATTTTTCTTAAGTAGTGCCGCGAGGCTTTTTCCTGCGAGGAGGAAGGCCGTGCCTTAATATGCGAGTCGGAGGAACGATAATTCCAAGCACTCACGAAAAACAATAAAGGAAAATGAAAAGAAAATGAACGACGTATTTCAAAATGAACCAAACTAATTGATTAAATTTTTTTAAAAATTTTTCCACTGACAAACGCAAAGCTAAACGTTTAACGAATGAATAACGAAAAAAGAATTAATATTCGACGCCGGAGGATTAAAAGTGTTGTTGAGCTCTGAAAGCTATATCTTGTGCGTTGGGAATTGGTTGAATGTACGGGGGGGAGAGGGGGGGGACCCACGCAATAAATGCAGTAGTGAAATCTCTAGTCCAGCGAGCGGCAGTCGCCTTCGTATATCTGCCGATCCAAGAAAACGATGAAAAAAAGAAGATAACGCAAATTGTTCTTTATTTTATTTTAATTTAATTTTTTTCTAAATTTTTTTTATCATTCATTATGGTTTATTATAATTTTTTTCTTCATTATTGTTTTATTTTTTATTTATCCATTTTTTTTTTAATTTTTATTTTAACGAACGCATGCAAAGATGGAAAAGAAATTTAGGACTTTTATAAAGAAGCCAATTGTTGTTGATTGTGAAGCCAAGCAATTATTGTAAAAAATGTCGGGCCAGATCTGTTTAAAAAGCAGGAAAAAGCTGTCGGTGATGATTCGTTAATAAAGTGTGGCGGGCGCCGCACGAGATAGATCGATCGTACGTATGTGTACTTACGAATTTACGAATTGAATAAGTGAAATATTATAAATGAAAAAACGATGTTCCAATTGGACTTTTGTAGCTACGTAAGTATATTGTATCGAGTCATTGGCGAAGGGTAGAACAAACGTATATTCGATAATAATATTTACAACGTAGCTATTATTATTATCATTATTAATTATTGCGATTATTTTTATCGATTTGCTAATTATTATGCATTATTAACATTTAACCGGAATTCTCAAGCTGTAATGTAATATTCCATCTTTTGCCAGCGGTGGCATTTTTCTATTCTCTCTGCCCCAATCTCCCCTATCCCCGCCCCACCCACCCCATCCCAACCCACCCCACACTCTACTCACCCTTTTTTTTACATTTCTGTATACATGTATAATCGACATACGAAAAGAGGCGCTAATTTATATTACATATGGAGATGTCAATGATTATTCGCGTCACTGAAAAAAATCATTGTCGCAGAAATAAAAATCCATGTACATTTATCTAACGCTTGATTTATTTTTTGCCTTTTATTCCTCGGTCCTCTCTCCCGTCTTTTTTTGTTTTTTGTTTCTTTTCTTACTGTTTTGGTTGATTTTTCCCTTGAGTTCCTTATAAGAAACGCGAGTCTGTCGGAAGCGTAACGGAACTCATGCTATGAAAACGATAACGTACAATTGAATTTGAAGGCATTGTAATAATGATTCGTGAGACCTCGTGAATAATAGGTTCCTTAAAACTGGGTTTTCTCTTTTCATTATTCAATGAAAAGAATCGTAGAGTGCCAAGTTGGGCATACCGCACGACACTGAACACTTAATTATGTCAGCTGCTAACCAAAATAAGAAGTAAAAAAAGGCAAGAAACATATAAATGCTAATTGAACCAAAAGTCAAAAGTAAAAGAACTTTTTCATTTGCATTTTAAAGGATAGAGAGTGCGTGGAGCTGAGCATATGGATTATCATTTTGCATTTAATTTCGATTCGGTAATGTTTCGTTCAATTAGTGTCGCATGACATCGCTTTGGCTTATGACCCATCTCCTCTAACGTTAGAAATATCGCGTAGATGCTTATCTCGTCAAAAGGTGCGGTGTCAAATCACGATTTAACCCACAAATTCCTAATTATCCGCCATCGTCCTTTTACAGAATATTATCGATTGGCGCAATTCTCTATGTAAGATAATTATGGTGCCAAGTTTAACCGTCCTGTACTAATGCGTGTACTTATAGCAATAACTAACGAAATATCCACGTAAACTTTCTTACAACAGCTCGATGTTATAAGATAAGCTCGTCGTATACAGTATAATAATCATACATAGCTTTGGAGTTCCTTGTAGGCGTATTAAATAGGTATTACGCGCGCTGCATGCATTATTATTAATTAAAATCTGTTCCGTTACTTTTACGACAGATTCCGTATCAACGTCGGTGGCATAGTTTAACGATGTATTATATGGCGGACGATTTATACAACCTAATAATGTACATCAATCGCTCATTTAGCAACGCAATCAGACTTTTCGACAATAGTTCTCAAGCAAATAATCAAAGCAACGACGATACCGCCATTTGTTGTGACCACTTGTCTATCCCACAATAAGCCAGAGAAAGCTATTGTTAAAACTCAATCGCCAAATCTCTCCTCTCGCCTCAATACGACAAAGTGAGTCGAAAATTGCTAGGTGACATCGGAGTCGTGACGGCACTCGTAAAGTATCGGACGACTGCCTCCATAGCGATCGAATCCCAATAGCTTATTCACAATCTCAGTCGATGATAATTTCGACTAGTGTTTGGCACCCACTGGACCGAGCAAAACCGGTATAGAATACCGTTACCGACGCGATTGACATTTCGTTAACGTTCAACCAAACTTTAGGAATTTATGTATCGGTAAAGCGTATGGGTAATTGGATGGAGAGGCGATGATGTACTTTTGTGATAGTTCCACGTAATTTCTAATACGAGATATTGTCGATCAAAGATTTATACATATTGTAATATAAAAAAAAAGAAAAACTAATAAAGATAAAATGAGCGTCGACTGTGAAAAGTGGTCGTTGCGCTTTTACTCAATAAAAAGGCTGGAGTTATCTTTACAATCGACTATTATTATCAATGGAATGATATCCCCTTTGAAATTATAGTTTTTATCGTTGAAATTGCTTATGCGAAAAGTTCTAAGACAAATTATAGAAATTACGTCGGTTATTGGGATTGTTTATTATGGTATATTAAAATGCGAGTGACGCCGGTTGTCAAAAGTGTTACAAGGCGTTGTTTAATATTTTGGTTGCCGATATAACGAGATTTTTATTAAACTGATATAACATTTACAAGACCTTTGCAATTTCAGATAAGTGAACTAAAATTTTTTTCACTTTTTGCAAATTTTTTGCAAGTTGCGTTTGATGAAATGTTATTATATTATTGATACTAAAATTAATAAGATCAATTTGACTTTTCAGTAGTTATAATTGAAAGGTAAGAAAGGATCTTTCCAATGAAGACTCGGGGTAGATTTGTCACTTACAAACGGAAATCAAGATAAGCAGACCGTTACTCATTCGATACAATACAAATAAATTATTAATGATTATAACATAAAACTTATGTTCGCGTTAATGTATTTTTTGTTGGAACGATCGATTGTTTAATTAATTTAAGTATCGATATAAAATTACAACAATTGCTCGATCGCAATGATCCTCTAAAAGAGCAACTTTCGTGTATAAAATATTATAAAAATAATTTAAATGGCAACACGATACTACTATAAAAGAAATAATTCACTATGATATTGTGTGAATGCGATATTTTGTTAGAACTGTTGGTGGTTTAGTGGTAATAGATAAACATAAAGTGCGCAAAGTACAAAGCGGCTTAAATTTAAATTCAACACAACATGTAATCCAATAAAATATGTGCCGTGTAATTTTAATCTCGTCCATTATCTGTCTACTACTATTATTATAATGAATGCACTATTTTTTTTCTCAATGTATTTACGCATCTTACTAACGAAAATACGTCCGAGCACGAGTTGTTTAAAGATAAGTTATTGTTCGTACTAAGCGTGATAATAATAAAGGGATCGAGTTTCAGATTACACGTATATTTACTGTAATTGCACATGTAGTAAGAAGCATTCAAAGAAATAGAAATGGATCGCGAGAACCATAACTGATAAAGCATCCCAGCAGTCCTGGAACGTGCCTCGCTAAAAGTTATTATTCTATGATGCAGTTCAAAATACCGAGCAAATCCATTGTTCGAGTAATTGCTTGCATTGACTTAAAACTGTCATTCGATTGATATGTCGAAAAATCTAGTTCAAGTAATTTTTCGAAACTATCTAAATTGCCTACCCAATGCCGAATGAATTCTTAAAAAGAAACAACAACAAAAAAGAGGCTCGAATATCTACTAATTATTCCGAGTTTGTATTCCAAGAGTGCAATAACTTCCGGTATAACTTTATTCTAATAGTTTCCAATTTAAATAACCATTCATTTAAAGTCATGTATAATCAATTCTTAGTGTGAATTTTTCTCGCTCGATTACCTTTCGATATTCGCTTCCTGGAAAATTATGAAAAAAATGATAATGAAATTAATAATGTACGTATGTATCTTCTTTCCATTAAATGTGTACATTTATATGTTATTGAAATTTGTAAATAGATACTTTTTATTAAAATTTCTCCTCGTACTATACAAATTATCCTGGTAATGGTTACTTATGCGCATACAACACAGAACAATGGTTTGGAGTGTGCTTACAAAAAAAATTCGTAGTTTTTTTATAATAGAGCTAGAATTAAATTTACGATCGCGTACAAAGTTTCCATGATTTACGAATAAAAGTGATCAATGGATGAAAAATAAGAATAATGTCGTTAATAACTAATTTCGTTATTTCGTCATAACGGTCGTTAATAACGGTCATAAACATATCAGTGAACCGTTCCATTTAAGTAAGCAAAATAATAGTAAAAATAATTTAACCTATCTTGATCGCTGCTCGACAGTAATTGTTTTTTCAGTAAATCGTTATTTTATCGATTTCCGGACTTTTAACTAGCTATAAATATCAATTTGTTAAGTTTTAATTATCCTTGCTAACATCCTCAAATTATAATAGTAGTCTAAGATTTAAAATGCATTATACTTTTGTACTTTATTCTGTCGAGCTGTTTCTTTGGATTTATATTCCGACCCAACGGATATTCCGAGATATTCTTCTACGGTTCCTCATTTACTTAGATGTCATCGCAAATATTTCTCGCGCTATTTCTCGCGCATGATTACAATTTACACATTTAGTTTTCCTTACACACAACCATGTCAAAAGAAACAAAAACGAAAATGAGGTTTATTTGTAAAAAAAA